TTGACTTTGATCATTTGTTGATTTTGTATCCGATGAAATCAAATCCTTCAACTATCAATGAATCACACTTCTTGAGCTAATTGGATCACATGAATGGACCATTAAGATGTATTTGAGACCTTTGAATCATGTTTTGAGGTATGAGATAATGTTCAGATGAAAAAAGTCAACACCAAGTTGTCTTTGATCAAAACTCTAATTTGGTACACCGGACGAATTTGAGCTTGATGAACTTGAATTGAAATGAACTCAAATTTGATTGTTGATGAAGGGAGGCTCTTGATCATGTTGATGAATTGGGAGCTTGGGATGTTGAGGATCACACAAACCCTTGATTGGTCATCTGCTTGAATTTCTTGATGAAAAACCTTAAACTTGTAGACAAAGCAAGCAAGGCACATATTTTTGTATTTCCAATGGGATTAGTAATGCATAAAACGCACACACATGAAATGCTTGATGTTATTCAAAATGATACAAATGAGTTTGGATCTTAGAAGTAAAAATTAGGGTATGACACCAGCATTATAACTTGACACATAGTAACCATCAATTCATGATTACATGATTGCTCAATAATTATCTCACAAAACTTATCACAAGTAAGCACATTCTTCATATTTTCAAGCATATGCTTTAACCTCTGAATAATTATAAGGTAGTATTATACACCATCTTTCCAGCGCTTCGAACCGCGCCTCAAATGGAATCACGAAACTCAAGTTATGAAGAAAATAGTATTTTGACCCAATTTGCCTTCATGATTCGAATCAAGTGTAAACTGTGATTTGAATCAAATCAGAAAAAGGATATCCAGAAGGCTGTGATTCGAATAAAAAATCACAATGTAAACCTCTTATTCGAATCAAATCAGCCTGAATTGCTTTTCTACATAATTTTCACGGGAATTTCACTCCCAAACTCAACTTTTTCAACCTAGACCTATCCAAACTTCAATTTTGAACGTGAGTAACCACATATACTCATATAACATCCACAACAAATTAATTACCACATAAATTTAGCATATTAACATCGATTTATCACATCAACTCATCATGCTCTTTATCAACACATGAACATCATCATCATAAAATCTCATGAAAATTTATCATGCAATTCCGCATCTAAGTAACACATCCTATTTCACACGATAAAATTAACAACACATCAATCAATTATGAAGGTTTTTCATAAACCTCACATAATTGACAAAACTCTCATCAAAGGAGTATGAGGGAGAGATGGGAAAAGATATGGGGTAGGGATCCCCTTATATCCTACAAGAATAACTACTAATTTGGGAGAATTAAAAAATTTGTATTGAAGTAGAGGTTTTGAAGGATTTAGATAAAGTATTCAATTATGGTATATGTTGTTATAATATCTTAAAATAAAAATACATGAAACGATAAACATTCATTTACTATTATATACAAAATCTTTTTTTAATATAAAAAATTTCTGTATTTTTTGTCCAAATCTTCTTCTCTGAATCTCACACTATCCCCTTTCTTCCAAACACCCAAACAAAATCTTAAAAAACATGCACAATGTGTAGACTACAATCTATTTTTTTTATAATAAAGAGGGCCTAAGCCCAAAAAAAAGACTACAACCACACCCTCTATGGAAAACTACCTCATTAAAGTCATCATCTAATAAGGACCTGATATGATTAGGCACTGTATCATAAAATATACCATTATCCTCTAGGTAGCGTCCATCATTTGCCACAGCATCAACATAGTTGTTAGCTTCCCGATAGAGTGAACGATTTATACCTCGTCATGAATGTTAATTAGCCTCAATTTTTTCTTAACAAAGCATGACCGTCGATACTATTAGAAACTCCTTTCTCCTATGCCTACACATCCACCAAAGAATCCACATTGAGCTCGATTCTACTCAGACCTAGCCTATGGGTACAATTAAGCCCTTTGAAAAATCCCAATAACTAAACAAAAAATGCAATACATATTCCAAGATGCTTAGAAAAACCACTAATACATTATCCTATATTACTTCTGATAACACCACCACATCTTGCCCGATTAAGATCTTTACAGGCTCCACATCTTCGTCGATTTCTCACCCTTAGACTTCACATCATTTTGACTCTTTGCATTATCATAGTTCTGCACCATTTGCGCCACATGTTGTCCCAGACTGAATGGCCAATTAAAATCTTCACCATGCTCCACATCCAAACACAATGAAATGCTATTGCCCAATACTCACCCTAATTTCTAGCAACACTTAAATTAGATTCAAGGTTCAAAGCAATCCAATCTGTGAGATCAACCTGCAAGAAAACATCAAAAATATTATTTAGAACCTTGTTTGCCCAAATTTGCATTTGGGAAATCTCTAAAGTCGTGCATAGTAGTTTCCACACTCCTCCCTATTATGCTTTTATTGTAATTGGGAAGCAATCTATCATGAGCCAACATCCAAAGGAAATACTGAACTCTCTTCAGAACATTAAGCCTCCAAATTTTCTTCCAATCAATCTCAAATATTCCTCCTTCTGATTTACTTAAGTTGTTGTACATGGCCTTAATAGAGAATTCAGATGCACCGGTACCAATTATGACACATTCGTTGTTCCCGTACTCAGGTTCTGGATGAATACATGCAGATAATTTTTGTTGCAGATTCTGCAGAAGCCATCCTTGGAAATCTTGTCACTTCTAGTTACCATTTTCTTCAACCAGTTCACACAGTTTGGCTCCAAGTAAATGGTTGGGAATATGTGACACTTGCTCCTCGATATGTAAACCCGGCTCCAGCCAGCTGTCCTTTCAGGCATTTATGTCTCTACCATCACCAATAATTCAACTTCCTGTCTCAAACAAAATAGGCTTCATCTTCTCAATATATTTCTATAAACTAGAATCAGAACCCTTGTAAATAAGATGATCTTGAACATTGTAGCAGTTGTACTTTCCTTTCAAGACTTTGCACAATATTTCCTCTGGATTATTATGTAACTTCCACCCAAGCTTCAAAATGCATGCCTTTTAAGCCCTACACCTCATTCGCCTTTGGATTATTATGTATCAATTAAATGTGTCGTACCTCCTTTTCTCTTATGAGTCCCCCAGATAAAAAAATTTAGGAGCCTATGTATCTTATCTCTACAGGATTTTGGAAGCATATTTGACATCATAGTGTAAAAAGGAATGGCTTCCAAGACACTATTTTCCAAAATGACTCTGCTTGCAAATGATAGTTGGTTGGTTTTCCAATCGCAAGTTTTGATACAATTTGATCCATAACATACTAATAATTACTTCTTTTAAGAGTTCTTCTGCTAAGAGGTATTCCCAAGTATTTACCAAGTTGATTCTTAACTTTAAAACTCAAAATCCGAGTAAGCTTTGCCCTCATAGATCTGGGAACATTATTAGAAAATAGAATGTTCGTTTTCTCCTTGCTCACTTCCTGGTCTAACATGTTGCAAAAGGCTTGTAGAGTATTTATAACACAGCTCATCTGCTTCTCTCTTGCCTCCCCAAAAAGTAATAAGTCATCTGCAAACATCATATGAGATATCAGATATCATAATTCCTTGTTCTCCCAAGGTTTCATTCTTCAATTTCTTTCATTGACTGGCTGCATGATGAAATGTGAGAATTTTTCACTGCATAACACAAAGGTAAGGAAAAATGGGATCTCCTTTTCTTTTCCAACGTTAAGGACGAAAATATTCGCTTCTTCCACCATATCATTTAACTTTTGTTTCCACACTCGTGACGATGCGCATGATAATGTTTACTAGCTTCTCAGAGAGATTAATCTCAGTTAATGTTAGTTAAAGAATTCCCACCTTAACTTATCGTAAGCTTTCAACAAATCTATCCTACTTTCTTGCCTTTCATCTTCTATATGCTATGAAGAACCTCTTTAACAATTATAATATTTTCGTGAATATTCCTCCCTAGAACGAATTCAGTCTGATTGGGAGAAACCAACAAAGACATATGCTCCATCAGCATGTTAACCACCACTCAACTAACCACTTTATAAACTATGTTATACAACGAAATAGGTCGAAATTGGGCCACAGTTTGAGGTTGAGCAACCTTAGGAATTAAACAAATGTCAGATTGATTCACCTTAGCTATCTTACTAGGATTATCCCAAATTTTTCAAACAAAGTAACCTACTTTGCCTCCAATAGGTTCCCAAGATTTTTTTTATAAAAGCTTGCATGAAAATTGTCTGGTTTAAGAGCTTTTCAAGGGCTCGTAGAAAACATAGCATTTTTAATTTCCTCATCTCTTACTTGCGATGTCGTGCGTTGATAATCTTCATCTTCTAGACAAGGAAAAGGAAATGTGATGATAGTCTGTTTCCATCTTCAAGTCGTGTCCTTGAGAAAATCTAAAATAATTATTAACCAATAATTGTAATTCCTCATTTTCCTCCACCCATTTCCCCTGGATCATCTTTAAGCATTACAACGTTGTTGTAACGTCTTATTTTTATGGTTTTAACATGATGGTATTTTGTATTTCGACCTCTGTCTATTATCCATTTTGTACGAGATCTCTAAAACCACATACGTTCTTCCTTTTTTAGAATATTTTGTATATTTTGTATTTCAATCGCCGTCTATTAACCATTTTGCACGAGATCTCTAAAACCAGATAAGTTCTTCCTATTTTAGAATATTGCTTAATTTTTATGTAGGGATTTTTATTTTATTTTATCCTAATAGTGGAAACTTTCATTTATTAATTTCTATAACACTTGCAATGTTTGCCATGTTTACAAATAACATAAACACCTATACATTAACAACATTCTAAATATAAAATCAAATGTACACTTACAAATACAAATATGCAACAAGATCACCTATAGTACACAATATGTTCCCATGTTTCCCAAAAGCATCACATAGAGATTCCAATGAATTTATATAATTGGTCTATGCAGTCATTTCTGTACCTAGAAAAAGTTGTTGCAACAATCCATTGATGTTATAAAAACTACCTCTCATAATCTTGCAAGCCCAAGAAGCTATATTTCTGGAACCTGGCATTGGGGGGACTGAAGGTAGTTTGCTTTGTTTGAAGTAACTTATTTCCTGATTCATCTGTACATGTCTCAAGACCGCAAGAATGGCAAAAAGATTCCAGATCCGATTCCTGTCATGGTTGAAAATAGCATTTAGGGATAAAACTAATTGTTATCATGTTCCAAGGAATTATTTTCCTGGATTATGATTTTAATCTTTGAAACAGAGTCCATACCTCTATCATCAGGTGTTTTGAGAGGTTGAACAAAGGATATGGATGAAGTTTGTAGCCACCGAAATTTATGTAAGATAAAGCCAGTGAACGAACCTATAAGCAGACACAAGGGAAACCATTATCGTTACATGTAGAAATAGAAGTTCTTAAAAGCATTTATATAAAAAATTTAATTCTTTATTTGAAGCATGGTTTCTTTTCAAGCCATATATCATCAATAGATGCATGTTTGCGACAAGTCAGAAATAAAATAAATAAGTAGAAAATAAAAGAGACAGAATATTAGGAAAAGAATGCAATCTCTGGTTTAAGTAATTACTTCATTGATATAAGGTTCCATAATGCAGTACTGTAGATATGATGCTTCAGCTGCTACAGTTCGGAAGAAATCAATATAATTACCCATTCGGAACGAGCTGAAAAGAGAAAAACGAATATCGGTAATTGGCATACATTCATATTTTTATTATAGAGAAGTGAGATATAGGCTAATGGGAAAACCAACGGAAAAATCCATTTAATTTAACTGATAAAGTAAACAAATTTAATAATATGAGAAAAGCTACCGTACGATTCTCCTAGCAAAACGCATTTCTTTTGACTTCAATATTGGAGTTGATACATGACTAAACCATAAAGAAAGAGGTTCTCCCTGTGAACCAGAAGCAGTTTCAATAACATAACCTTAAGAGGTAACAAGGCTGGAATTAATTATCAAAAGAGAGAGAGAAAACTAATCATATCAATGATGTAGGTATTAAGTATTAACCATTGGTTTGCTGTGAGAACCAAGATTCAGAAGCACATGGAACGAATGGAACTCAGCTTCATTCTCATGTAAATCATTTGAATTTCGATTTGCTTCATACAGATTGAATAAAGAAGACAATGTCTTTGCAAGCTGTTCCATGTTGAGATGATGAATGGATGCGATGTTTGGATCACCCGTAAAACACCAGAGCTTGCGATGTGATATAACATGAAATTTCACCTGTGTGATTAGATATACTGCTAAACTTATTATCTGAATTCCATGCGTGAAAGGCTGCGAGAGGAAATAAAAATAACTTTTCAAAGAACAAAAATGTTAGGTCCATGCTTTGATTGGTGTGTTGCACTGTATGACCACTGCAGTCCACCTTTGTCTATATATTGTAAGAAATGTGTAATAACATTCAGAGTTTTCATCCTTCGATTTGATATTATAGCCTATCCTAAATCTCTTAATAGGAAACTCACATTTGTCCACACTACAGATATCTATCTAGTCTTAGGTGTAAGGGGTGTGTGGGAGACGGTAGGCTGTAGCCATCTTCATTGCAGCCTCTATCACACTCATTGTGTGGGGGTGAGGGAGTATGATCAAACTAGTCTTAAAAAGCTTGGAAAATTCTCACCCTCTGAGATAAATGTTGGGGTTGACCTAGGTATAGCCTAATTCTAAGATTGTATCTATACCTATCAAAGATATGTTATTAGACCACCCATATTTGTTCACGCTTGTTTTGCGAGATGTTTGCTCCTATGGGGAAATGAGTAGTCTCTTATTGGAAGCACACTTTGGTTAGTAGTTACAGTTCAATGTTAAATTCTACATGGAGACTTGGAGAAAGAAATATAAACCCTAATTCCACAAGAATGTGATTCCACGGATCAAAAGAATAAAGGTGGGTAAAATTACACCAAACTGTTGGAAATTCCACCTTCATTGCGGAAAGATTGATGATGATGATGATGATGATGATGAAAATAAAAGTACACTTTGGTTAGTAGTTACAGTTCAATGTTAAATTCTACATGGAGACTTGGAGAAAGAAATATATACCATATTTTCACAAGAATGTGATTCCGCGGATCGAAAGAATAAGGTGGGTAAAATTACACCAAACTGTTGGAAATTCCACCTTCATTGCGGAAAGATTGATGATGATGATGAAAATAAAAGTACACTTTGGTTAGTAGTTACAGTTCAATGTTAAATTCTACATGGAGACTTGGAGAAAGAAATATATACCATATTTCCACAAGAATGTGATTCCACGGATCGAAAGAATAAGGTGGGTAAAATTACACCAAACTGTTGGAAATTACACTGTCATTGCGGAAAGATTGATGATGATGATGATGATGAAAATAAAAATAATAATAATAAAAACAATATCTCAACACTCCCCCTCAAGGTGGTGCGTATACATCATAAGCATCCATCTTGTCACATATGCATATAATTCGAGGTCTTCGAAGAGATTTTGTAAAGAGGTCAGCAAGTTGATCCTTGGAATTTACAAAGGAGGTTTTGATGGTCCCTGTGGTAATCTTCTCTCAGAAAGTGACAATTGACTTCTATATGATTTGTCCTTTCATGAAAAACTGGATTGGAGGAGAGGTGCAAAGCTGATTGGTTGTTACATACAAGTTCCATAGGGCCGACTTCATAAAAATGAAATTCCTGTAGTAAATGCTTTAACCAGAAGAGCTCACATGTGGCATGGGCCATGGCTCGATATTCAGCTTCTGTAATTGATCAAGCAACGACCGTTTGCTTTTTCCTTTTCCATGAGATCAAATTTCCCCCAATAAAAACACAATAACCCGATGTAGAGCGCAGCGGAAGCATGGTGGGCCAATAACCCACAGGTCCCTGGATCGGAACCAGGCTCGGATACCAATTTGAATGTGAATTTCTTGTATTATTAGGCAGAGAAAAATACACATATATATAGGTCTAAACCTCCTCTTCAACCCTACTAATTAAGTTAAGATTTGATACAATAATATCCTAATTGATATTACTAATAAAAACCAACGACGACGATAATAATAATAATAATAATAATAATAATAATAATAATAATAATAAAACAATATCTCAACAGATGGTATCAGAGCCTATCCCAGATCTCTTATTGGCCTTCCTGCATCATCCACACTTCATGCTCATGATGACCTAAGCGTGAGGGTTTTTGTTGGAAACTTTGCCTTCATTGAATCTGCCCCTAGTCGCCTAATTGCGGCATTTGGCTTGCCTTCATTGCATCCTCCAACACCTTCATTGTATTGGGTTTGAAAGGGTGGATTTAGTCTCACGTTGCTTAGAGATATGACCTATGTAGTGTTTATAAAGCTTGGACAACTTTCGCCTTACGAGTCACTTTTGTAGGGAAGAATTAGGTTCAACTGAAATATTCTAAGACGATAAAAGTACTCAATGTAGGACTTAGGCACCCAATAGTATCCAAGTACCTATGTACGCCGTCGAGCATCCCATACTAATCAATGAGAGAACCAGGCACCCCATAATATCCAAATGCCTATCATAAGTCATAACATTGTCTCTGATGAGAGCCTGTCATCTTTCGACGGACCATTGTTCCAAAAACTCCAGCCATAAGTAGTCCATTTTGAGATATCAAAAACCAGATCTAATACCAATTTGGAACTGGATCAGAATATAAAGAAATATGGTGTTGACTGATGGTAAAATAACTATAACAAATTCCTGAATATTCGAGAGACAAGGACTCTAAATTCTTATCTTACCAATTACCTAACTCTCTCCATCTGACCCTCCTTAGTATTTATAACCATTATTGCTTATTTCTCCTAACAAACTCCCTAATTAACCCTCCTTAGTATTTATAATCATCATTGATTATTTCTCCCCGATTCTCTCAGTCTTGTTTATCAAAAGGAATGGATAATAAATTACATATAGAAAGAGAAACAAACAATGTAAGGATATATACAGAACCAACCCCGAGCAAGCATCACACAATACACATTGAGTCGATCAACCTATCCACCCAGATTCACAAGAGGCAGGAAATGTAATACCCCTAGCCCAGCAAAGGACTTGTATTTGGAAATATCAGTTTCTTCATAGATATTCATCTAGTGTGTTAAATAAAATTTAAGGATGAGACAAATAAAACTCAATTTACTTAAAACTGGAATTTGCAAATCAGGCATCAGAAATTAAATTAAATCATGTACCATAACACAGTCAAGAGAAAAGTTGAATTGATAGATGATGAAAAGAAGAAAGCATATAAATCAAAGACATTGGAAAGAGAAAATTATACCATTCCCTCATACATGAAGATAGCTCTCTTGTTTACAATGCTTTGCATAGTAAGATCTTGACGTATAGACCTTGTCCTATCAAAGATGAAGTCATGAACTACTTCGAACGGATGCTCCTTAGAATCCAGCAAGCCCAAAAGATAATTTAAAGTATCTTCTAATACAGGAAGAGGTCGCATATCAGATGCTTGAACTTCTTTGATGGATATAGTTCTGCAAAACTGATAAGTGAAATGTCATACGATACAACCATCCAGGATTAAACTAGCTTAAAAGTGAATCCAGCGTGTTGCTTGAGAGTACATCCTTCCTAAACTAGACAGAAGCACACTTTATAAGGTAAAACCAGATAACACAGGAATTCAAATTTGATCCTACCTTCTTGACAGCAAAAACTGGAGATGATTTTCCAGGATTACCATTTAGCCTCTCAAAAACTGCCAAATCTCGAAGTTTCTCACGCTGGATCCTCTCTCTTTCTGTAGACACAGTGAAAACATTTGAACATAGAAGCTTCAAGTATATATATATTGTATATGAAGTTATAGAGAAAAATAATAGCAACTGATAGTGTCTCAAGATTTAACATGCAGCATGCAGAAATGTTTAAGTGTTACAGTGATTCAACAAAGCTAAGATAGACGACAGCAAGGAAGCCTTTTTTTATATTAAATGTGGAATAAACCACACAAATGAAATGACACCTCTATTTTTCTAAAAACCAAATCTTCGAATAAGCCACTTAAACGTTTGCCCTTTTTAATATTTTCTCTTGGAGTTTTAGTCTTCCTCTACCTTTAACTATTAGGCTAACATTGACCTGAATAACTCTTTACTAGCACAAATGGTGGTCAATAACTCTTTACTAGAGCAAATGGTCTTCTCGCATAACCAAACCATCTTAGGTGTTATTAAACCATTTTTCCTCTCCAATATATTATTTCTTTTTTATAAGAAAGATCTCGAGATTAACGATTTCAATAGAAGCATGGTCAGGATAAAACATTACAGCGAAAGTTGATCCATGTAGCCAACCCCATTAACGATAAGGCTTGGTTGTTGTTGTAAGCCTAAGTTGTCAATAGCGCGCTATAGTGGCGGAACGGCATTTCAATACTTCATCGCAATGCTATTGGCCTGCGAGGTGCTATCGACGGTTGCGATCATGGCACCACGAATAACAGGTGCTGCGGCAGTTTGTTGGTTGCTATTCTCAAACTGGGGACAATTTTGTAAATCCAAATAACTGATAAGGGTATATGGGCCTTTTCAACCTTTTTAACCTAATATTAAAGTCCAGGTGTTGGCTTCAATAAGTTCCACTGTGTTTTGACGTTTTCTTCGGTGTTGTCGATGGCGGATGGCAGTCCAAAGTGGAGTTATAGCCAATTATGGCGGAAAAACCTGTAATATCAGCCGATATTTACCATTGCGGTGAGCCCAAAAACTCTCATGGCGGATATTTGATAGGGCTCAAAAAGAACCATAGAGCTCACAAAATTTCAAATGTTCTGTGCTAGGATTTAGAAATGATAATAACAATCCTACTAACAACTACAAAGAATTCAAATTATTATTGTAAATTACTAATTAATTAAATTTTTACCTGGGCACATATAGGAACAAGTTCCAAGCAAAACCCTAAAATTGGAAGATCCTTGTGAATCCTCGTGGAAATCAGAGGTAGATGCGTTACTATTACTACCGGTGGTAGGAGGAGGGGTGACCCTTTGTGAAAAGTTTGAAACTTTGGATTGATGGGTAGCATTGAAAGGAAATTGGTGGCGCCGTGGTTGGGAAAACTTAGAGCGACGGTTTCCATTACCACTCTCCATCCTAACTCTTCTTTCTTCACCATTGTTACGACATTGTTTTTTATCTTTTATTTTGTGTTTTTTAAATTTTATTTTCTTTTGTTTATTACTATATGAGATTCAATTTAATAATTATCATTCACTTCCTTTCTTCTTTTATATGGTTTTCTTAGACTTATAAATACAAATCAACTACCTACCCATTCAAATCAAATGTCACCATTCTTACTAATTTACCCTTCACTTTGATTTTTACTTAAGACTAGACCAAACCCTTTTTGGTAATTTACAAAATACAACATAATTGACCAATAGCATGGTCCAATTTTGCCAAGTGACAGAATTTTTTTTGAAAACTCTACTCATCCCTCTTTCCCTCACCTTTTCCCTCTTTTCAATTTTCTTCCTCTCTCTTTCCCGGTTACTCTTTCTTTCTCTTTCCACAGTTCTTCCATTTTCTCTCTACCCCTTTCTCTTTTCCTATCAAACCCTAGCGGGTTCATCACTCTCATTGGTGTTACACGACCATCTCGATCGCAAAAGGTATGTTTTCCCCTATTCTATTGTTCTTTCTTTCATGTCCTCTTCTTCTTGTATTCATAGTAGATTTTGTTGAAAAAATATTTGTTGTTATGTTCTTTGATTTTTGTAGTGTTTGAGTGTTTGAAGTGTTTGAAGGAATGGTTACACGATTGTGGAATTTGTTAGATGGTGGTGAGTGTTTGAAGTGGTTTTTGACAGTTTGTAATTATGGATCGGGAAAGAAATAATGGAAGAATAGTTTCTAAGTTTCTGGTTTATGGTTTTTCTAGTTTCAGGTTTTCTGTTTTAACTTTTAACATAGCTTTAGCTTTGTACATTTTTTTTTTCGATTTTAGGGTTTTGATTTTTCTGATATTTCTCTGTTCTGTCTTCTACAGTTTTGGTTTTGTGTTTTGGTTTACGACTTACAATTTACATCGTTTAATTTTTGTTTTGGTTTACGACTTACAATTTACATCGCTTAATTTGTGTTTTGGTTTACGACTTACAATTGTTCAAATTCTGATGTCACTGCGCGATCTATCTGCTAATTTTTTGCTCAATTTTGTTTTTGTTGTTTTATGGTTACACTATTGGTTTATTTGTATGTTGTTGTTGTGATTTGTTGAAGTTGATTTGATTGAGAAATTGGATATGATAATCGTCGTATTGATGTGTTTGAATTTTGCTGAATGAAAACAGGTATCTGGACCTGTCGTGGTTGCAGATGGCATGAATGGGGATGCTATGTATGAATTGGTGTGTGTCGGTCATGATAATCTCATTGGTGAAATTATTCGTTTGGAAGGGGATTCTGCCACTATCCAAGGTTCTGCATAACTTCTACACTATGATGATACAAATGCATTAATTGATAATTCATGATTTTCTAAGTTTTAATTGAAACAAATATGTTTGTTGTATGCAATTTCAGTTTACGAGGAAACTGTTGGGTTGACGGTTAATGATTTGGTGTTACGTACACACAAGGTTGGATTCTATATTCATTTTTCTCTTATTTTGATTGTGTTTGTTGTTGCGTGATTTGATTTGATATTAGAATGTGAATGTGCTTATCAAAAGATGTTGAAAATTTTGGATTTTGGATCATAAGTCATAACATACATTATCTTCAATCATTACACATGCTTCTATTTTTTATTAAAGGTTTTTTGTTGTTGTAAATAACAACAAATATCTATGCAGTAGGTCACATTTAGATGATAACCTGCTTATTTATGATTCATTTGCAGATTGATACTTGCAATTCATTCTATTGTGATCAATTTACTCATACTTTTCCAAACAGGCCCAAAATTTGGACTGAGAATTCGCCTGTATGGTATGTTGAATTCAATCTAAACCCTTTCTCACAACAGTCCATTATTCATATTTTGCGTGAAAATGATCATTTCTCCTTGTAATAATGTATCTATCATGGTTCATGGGAGTATTTATAGTGAATGTATTCTGATAATTCTCTTATTTGTTGGACATAACTCAAAAATACTCTTCAGTCTTCACCCATTTTTCCCCGGAAGTAACGTCACCTACGACAGCCGCTCTCTCATCATTGATGGCCAACGCAAGCTTTTCATCTCTGCCGCCATTCATTACCCTAGAAAACTATTGTGTTCCCTCTTTCCCTCACCTTCTCCCTCTTTCCAATTTTCTTCCTCTCTCTCTCTTTCCAATTTTCTTTCTCTTTCCACAGAGGGATGAAAGCCTTTTTCGAGCACTTTTTGAGATTGTTTTGAACCGTGGTTGGGCTCAATTGACTAATAAGGCTTTGAACTTATGCAAGGCAGTGACCAAGAGGGTATGGAATGTCCAAACTCCTTTTCGTCAGTTTGAAGAACTTCCAGATTATGTATTTACCTATCTGGAAAAGAAAGATTTGGCTTGGGAAAGTTACTATAAACTTTCATTACAAGATATAGGTGACTTTCTTTGTGGACCGCATATTAGGAAGAAGGTTCATACAGCAATTCATCAATTTCCAAAGCTGAGGCTTGCTGCACATGTGCAGCCCATCACTCACTCAGATTTGGGGTTAAGCTCACAATAACTCCTGCATTTGAATGGGATGATGAAAAGCATGTTCTTGTATCTGATGTTAACTTGTACCTGCCTTGATTTTGTCATTAATTAATATATTAATTAGTTCCTCTGTTGATATGCTTGTTAAATCAACAGGTGCCTATAGTCCCCAGTCATGCAATTTTTATTAATGATTTTGTGTAAGCAGAAGAAGTTGTTGATGATTATGAGTTTGTCATCTGACAGTTAGTGAGAACCCGTGTTATCAACGTGTCTGAGATTAGTGACTGCCCAAAATTCGATCTCATTCTGCTTGAACTGGGTACTGATGGACATGTTGCATCTCTATTTCCAAATCACCCAGCACTGGATGAAAGAGAAGAATGGATAACTTCTATTACTGATTCCCCTATACCCCCCATATGAGAGAATCACATTCACTTTGCATGTTATCAATTATGCGTCTAACGTGGCAGTGGTCACAGCAGGTGAAAGCAAAGCAGATGTTGTATTGCTGGCAGTAGATGAGACCGGACCTGATTGGAAGTGATTACTTCTAGCTCGGATAAAGCACATTTTTCAGTTTCCTAAGTTTTTTGAGATTCAGCTGTCGAACTCTTTCTCCACTAAAAGAAAACCAATATGTTTGAATTATCAATTACATTTTTAGGGTAGCTATTTCCATTGTATTTCATGCTATATTGTCTAATATATATTTTTGGTTATAGTCATGGAAATGTTGATGGGATTGCTCTTCACGACAGTCTATTTCCACATCTGGTTAGTTTTTTAAAGCACTCAATGTATTTGATTTCTGCATCACATTAATTTATTTTTCCACTATTATATGATTCAAATGGTTATATATCATGCTAAAAAAGCAGTGTTATTGAAATGGCCAGTATTTATTTTCAGTATGTATTGGAAGCTGTTGAAATGGCCAGGTCATTCCTTACTTGATGGGGCCTTTGATGGCCAGTATTTGTTTTCAGTATGTATTTGTTTTCCTTGCTAATCATAAAACTACTGCTATCATGTCTATCTGGTGATATTTCAGCATTGTCCTGTGACACTGCCGTCTCAATTTGAGAATCCTGTGATGATTGCAAATTTTCACACTTAGCCGGCTCAGATGATTTAGGAAGAGTTTCTGATTTAGAGAAGTCGTGAAATATAACTCCAAGGTAATTTGAAGAGATATGTAGGAAGGCGACTTAGTGTTACAACAAGTCGTAATGTTCGCCCAATAGGTAAAGCTACATCTTAGCTAAGAGAGGCCTTGTCGCATATATTAGAAGTTTCCTAATTGAGACTACAAGCTCGGGGAATTGGATGGATGACTCCTACCTAGAACATGGAACTCATCCAATCTAAGATATTATTATAGTTAAGTGGTAGGAAGGCAGATCTCTTGTTTACGAAAACTCTTGTAAAGGACTATGATGTTTGTAACAAGTTATTGTGGTTCGATTGTCAAATTATGTTACTGGAATTCCACGGGAAGATCATTGTCGTCGTATGGGATAAATTTATCACTGGACTTCCACATGAATATCTTTGTCGTCATATGGGGTAAATTTTTTGTTGGACTTTCACTAGAAGCCTTGTTGCCCTATGGGATAATTATATTGCTAGACTTCCACAAGAAGATCTTTGTCGCCCCACAAGGTAATTATATTATTGGACTTCCACAGAAATATCTTTTATGCCTTATGTGATAACTATATGTATGGATTTCCACAAGAAGATTCTTGCCACCCCACGAAGTGAATAGATATGTTGGATCTTCCCTGAAAGATCTTTGTCTCCCTACAAGGCATATACATCATTGAACCATTGTAGAAGAATCCTTGACACCTTAATATGCCTCACATTCAACGTTAATAATATAAAGAACATTATGTTAAGAGTGTCACGTACTAAACGCCAAAGACATGAACATATAGCCCTTAAAGAGAAGCCTCTAAATGGCGGGGTTACAAAAGGCCCTACAAATGACGAGAATATGAATAATGTAGTAAATACAAAGAATTGAATATTCCCTAAATAATGCTTGAGGAAATCTTCCTCTAAGGGGACTCAGTTAAAGTCCTGCTTGAGGGACTCAACTAAGTCTTGTCATGGGAGTTTTAGCCAATCCCCATCCACAAAGATCATCTAAAAATTCAAGATTAGAAGGTAAGAATAAACGCCTCAACGGGGATCCTCGGGAATATCTAAAGATAAGTCAGAGGTTAAAACACTTCAGCCTCTTAGAGCCCTCGTGCTTGAGGGACTGTGTAGTGGTATAATTGAGAGAAGCTTTTGGGAGAGGCAAGTGTCTTATGCTTAGTCCTTCATGAATTGCCCTTTTATTAGTTCGAGTGCCACTTGTTTGGTTTGATCGCCTCTTGTCTAAATGTATCTCCCGAACTTCCCGTTTCTCCATTCATAATGTGTGATTGTGTGTGAAGTGTATA